CTCTAATTGTCACATGATCTCCCCGCACTGCAGCCCATTTCGCAACTTAGGACATTATTTTATTTATTTATTTATTTTTATTACAAACAACTGGGAATAAACTAGTAAGTACTACACTAAGGTAACTGATTTAAAAAAAATTCATACTACAAAAAAGTACACAGTTAAAAAGCAAGCTTCCTCCAAAATATTAGATCCTTGACTCTTCTTCCACGCAACAACTGCTCTTACCAATTATTGGTAAAGTCCTTTCAGAAATGTCCCATGCACATAAGTAGATATAAATGTGTGTGTGTGTATAGAAATATTATAAAAAAGCAGCTTTAATGCAATACACTTCAGTGTTTCTACTGCTCTTGGGATAATCATTTTTAAGAAGGCCTGTAAGGCTCTGTATGGTCAACCTGTATTTCCAATCGCATTCCATGCTGTCTATTCTTCACCACTAACTTTAGCCATATTAGGTTTCCTTTAGATTTATTAATGCCTGCTTGTGACACACTTTGTTTTGTTTGTTCCCTCTACCTACATCTTCCCCAACCTTCTGTCTAGTTCAACATCTACTCTCTTCCAGCAGAAATTCTTTACTCCCTGTTATCCCAGATTAACATTTCCCTGCTAAATGTGGTAAATACCTTACACCTTTTCTTTAGTGCTCTTATCACTAGTATATACCATTATTTGTATGACTGCATCATGAGGGCCTATAATAGTATATTGCTCCTTGCTGTGCAATGCAGCGTGTCTACTTAACACTGCACGCTCAAAGAAGTTTATTAAATGAGTAAGATACTGCCTAAAGCATTAAGCTGTGTAAGTTAAAAAAGAAAATAGGGAAAAAAGGTCAGGATGGAAAACTGTCCTCATTAGTGAACTCTTAAGGTCAAATTTATGCTAAGTCTAAACTACCAAATTAATAGAAGAGAAGCTGGGAAAAGCAACAAGAAAGAATACACATTTGGGCCATGGTGGTGCATGCTTGCAATCCCAGCACTGGAGAGATTGAGGCAGGAGGATCATGAGTTTGAGATACAGCAAATTCAAGGGCAGACTGGGATACATAGTAAGACTTTGTCTCAGAAAACAAAACAAAAAGAAAGACTACACAGAGAAATTCATGTCCCCACTACCTACATAAATCCAAATTCCTTAATATGACATTTAAGGCCTTTTGTAACAAGTTCTATTTTCAACCTCAGTCAATTGAAGTATGAGTATGTTTTCCATGGCTCACAATACCGCATAAAACTTACATGCCAATACTCACATAAACCATTTCTTGACCCTATAACCTTTACTAACTAGAATTAGCTGCTTTAACTACTCAATGTCCTAGTCACTTCTCAACATTATTAAGTTCCAGGCTAGTGTTTTTATTTACAGATCTCGCTAAACACTTACCAAATTAAATGATGATAATGACAGAGCCACTGGAACTTACTTTTTTAATGGAAATAACTACAACAAAACACATGGCAGGTTCTTTACTAACTCACGTTCCAACCCTCAGCTGGCATATGAATAAGTTAAACCAGGGAAGAGAGGAAAGGAAAGGAACCCAATGCTTACCTTTAGAAAGTGCAAGTGAGTGATAGTAACCACAAGCAACCTGTACTATCTGGATATCGACAAACTCTTAATATTTCTAGAAAACAAGAAGAAAGAACAGGATCAGTTCATTTCATTTAACAAATGGATCTTATTTGCTACTTAATACATGCTATTAGACACTACTGTGTGAAAGTTGTTTATTGACCTAAGCAAGGCCAAATTACCAAAAGTCTATGTTAAAACCAGTAATCAATACATAAAAAAAATAGAAAGGTGTATGAGAAAACACCTTGAATGACAGTATTTAAGCAAAGTGAAACTATGCTTAACATGTCAAATACTCCTCAGTATTGTTATAACTCAAATGTTTATTATCTTTTTAAAACCTTTATGGGGGGGAGGAGGGAGGGGGCGGAGCGGGTGGTAAGGGAGGGGTGGGGGCAGGGGGAGAAATGAACCAAGCCTTGTATGCACATATGATAATAAAAGAAAAATGAAAAAAATAAATAAATAAATAAATAAAAATCTTTATAGATTGTGAAACTTGGCGATGTATTTTGTAAAACAAATGTATATCATCTAATTTTCCTAAAATTGGTGTATTGCCTAGTTTAATATATTGCCTAGTTCTCTTCTATCAGGTTCCTTAACAACCATCACCCTTCCTATCCTATTATTCAATTTCACAAATTATGAAATCTATTCCTTTTAGGCTACCATTATGTTTGTAATCTAAATCAGTGGCATTCATTTTCTTACCAAGGAAATTTAATCAACTCAAATTTACAATAATGATATATGTTAAGTCTTATTTTCTGCCATCCTGTGTTTTGGCCTTATACTTTACAATCCCCCTTTTCTAAATGCAATGCAATTCTAAAAGGCTAACTGAAACACATAAAATATATTAACTTGTGCATCAATCATCCCAGCATCTTTTTGTGTACTTTCCCCTCACTTTGTCAACCTTGACTGTACTGAGTTTTTTTCAAGAAAAAAAAAAAGGGGTGGGTGGGGCGAGGGGAGCATGGTTTCTTATTTCCCTTTACCTGATACTGCCACCTGACCTGATTCTGCCAATGAGAGATCCGGAGCAAGTTCTGAACAAGAGTGTCGATTAACCCATGATTTTCGGGAGGCAGCTTCAGCAAATCAAATTGTGAGCAGGAAAAAGGAGAGTTACTCTAATTCCATATGTTGTTAAAAAATATTTTTATTTAGTGGATTTATGTTCATTTATGTTACTATAGATAATGAGAATTATACTGCTACAATTAGCAGAATCCAATCAATGCACCTTCTATTTTTCAAAACATAATAGAATGCATTTTTCTGCAATAGCAAATTCAAACATTGGCTGTGCACAAAGAGTTTTTGGAATAAAAAATACATGGACATGTACAGTGTCAATAAAAATTACTGTTACTCCTTATGTATACTAGGCATCACACACTAATCTTCTCACTATGTTAAATATTCTGAGGGGAAAAAAAAACATTACAGTTATTAACTCCAAACTGGCAAGACCAAGTAACATTTCAAAAATACTATATTCTCAATAGAACCCTGTTTTTCTCCTTCACAGCATGTGTAACTCTAATTACTAGTGTATACATGTACTTGTTGTCTCCTCTGTTTAAACAATAAGCTCATAAAAGGCAACTATGTGTCATATCCTATAATCCTAGAGCTTACCACACTGCTCAGCAAACACTTTGCAAAGAATGCAATGTTAAAGGATAAATGAATTTGTACTTTTAGAGGCCTTAGTATTAAATTAGTCATAAAGCTTGCCAAAATAAAACTTCTAAGTTTGAATAACAATTTAAAACTCAGTGACTCTCCTTTCCAAAATACTATTGTAAGGCTTGGAATAAAACCCCAATGCTAATTTCTTTAGTCATATCTACTATACAGACAAGGAAATATATTCTTTTGTGACATTACTGCATTAAAGAAAATTAGCTCCTCTCATGTTCAAGTAGACTTATTTTAATTCTGATCATGGGGGAGGGAGGCTTCTTTTCTTAATAAAACTTAAATTTATCAAATTAGTTTCCCATGTTTCATTTTTCACTAGAGATAAACTAGAAATATTAGTTAAAATAGAATGTTATAGGTTGCATCAAAAGTATACCATTTATATTTTTAGTGTGAAGACTAAAACTCAAAGCAATTAAAATAATAATGATTAATAATAATACAATATGTTAAGATGGGCAATATATTAAGATTCAATATGGAACATTAAAAATCCAAAATGTGAGGACAAATGGAGTTCAAGTGTAGTTTTTAAAATGTCTGTTTCTTTTTCTTATATTTATGATCATGTTAAGTCACCATCATTTCCAGAAACTCTATCATTTCAGAATAGCTTGCAATAACCAAAGACTTTTTTTTTTTTTACTTCATGGTAGCAACAAATTAAAACTCTATAATAGGTAAGCCAAAATTAAATAAGAATCAAAACACACTAACAGGACGTGAGGGCTATCTGGCTGCAACATCTGTCCCCCCACTAATCACCAGGTTGATTCAGCTGATCTGGCTGGCTACCGGGTGTCCCCTTCTCCCTCACCACTCCATGCGCATCCTTCCAAGGGTGGACGAGGAGGACCATCCCCTATAGAGTACTACCATTCTTCTTCGGTCAAGGGTATGTGAGCAACTGTGCTTCCCTGCCTCCTCCAAACACGCTCTCAAAACACACTAACAGAGTAAATCATTTACCCTGAAAGATTTAAAAGGAAAATAGAAAACAGTAGAAAACAATTACAAATGACTATAGAAGACCTTAGCTATTGATAATTACTTTAAATAATAATGGCATATAATTCTCTAATTAACAGAAAAAGAGTGACTGAAAGAATAAAAAAAATAAGACCCAACTATAGATGGCTTATAGGAAATTCACTTCACCTCAAAGGACACAACATAAACTGAAAGTGAAGATGAAACAGACCCGCAAGTGGAATACAAAATATAGACAGTAGCCATACTTACATTCGATAAAATAGACTTTAATCAAAAGCAATCTTTACAAAAAGGCAAGGGGTGATTCAGCAGAAGAAGAAATAACAATTCTAAATATATATGGCATATGATATTGGATAGCCCCAAACATT